ATTTGTTCATTAGACAAAAGATTGACTCTTAATTCTAGTGTCTAAGTTACAATTCAGGGTGTCCTGTTAATCTATGGCCATTAGTTAATAGTTAATTGAATCCTTCAAGATTCAAACTCTCAACAACAAAACTAATTGCGGAGGGAGACAACATATCTCCCTAGTGTTCCATTGAGACTCATTTATAAATAAAGCTTTTCAAATAATTACTAATTACACATCTTACTGTTTCTGTATTTGAAGAGAAAGCGACATAAAAAAAAAAAAGATGTTTTCCAAGGTACGGAGAATAAAAAGATCCTATAAACAAAAGTTGAGAACCAAACCTTCAATCATGTATTTAAGAGATATGACATATTGTTATATATATATATATATATGGAGTCCATGTCTTATTATTACAAATTTTTCTTAATGTTTTCTCTTTATTTCTTTGAATGCAATATATCCATTCATTTATGTGACAAGGGAATGTAGAGAGGATTTGTGCTGGCTGTTCAATCCTACCTAGTTCATTCATTCACCTCTTGAGATGGTGAACCTCTGTGAGAATCTCCACTGTTTCTGACTTCAGTAGTATTATTGGTGGACTCAATTTCATCCAGATATTGTTGATAGATATATGAACAAAACCCCAGAGAGCAAGCACCAATGATATGGCCTTCAATCCTTCCATTGCTTCATGGAATATCACCACAGCCAAAATAGGCACAATTGGGAAAGCCACAACACTTATGGCACTAGAGAACAGAGAAGACACCTCCAGAATCAAACCCAAATACCCTATTGTATAAAACTGCCATGTTATAGCACTGAAGCTCAAAATCATCACATAACTTGCCTTCCCCATCTTATATCCTTCCATTTCTGCCATCAAACCTCTGAAATCCCCACTACAAACAGCCCCACCACTATTGCCAAAGTTGCAACCAGTGAATGATATACTAACATGTCCAACACCACCCTGAAACTTTCCTTTCTCAGAACTTTCCTGAATGCAAACTGTGTCAGAGAAAACTCCAGTCCATACCCAGCTGAAGCACCAACTGTGCTGATGAACCCTATTACATACTTCTTCTTTGAGACCTGCATGGATGATTCAGAAGAAGAATGGGTTTCAAACGCAAGGAGGATGGAGGAGATTGTTAGAAGGACCAGAGAGTTTATGATGAAAGGTGTGAATTTCTGCGAGTTAAGGAAGAAGGAGAAGAATGAATTGAAGGCTAAGTCTAATGAGCAAATGATGGAATATGTAGAAACAGGAAGGTTTGAGAGACCAACAGAGTATAAGTAGCAGTTTAACGCGGCAAGTAGGCCAAGGGAGACATACACAAATGTCAGAACTAACACAGTAGGTTGCTTATGATTGTGAATGCTCTTTGTTTCAGTGGGGTGTTTGGAAGCAGGAATACAGTAAAATGGGAGGAGAATAGGAAAACCCACAAGCTGGACAAGTGTTCCCATCCATTTACTCTTCCCACCTTGTTGATAGTACTGCCTTCCCAAGAGGGTTGAAGCTGATTGGCCCACCAACAGAAGAACAGCATACAAGGCTATTCTTAACCAACGTTGATGTTTCCTTTGGTTTCTGATTGTAGTGTCTGGTTGATTAGGGAAATCATTAGCATCTCCGTTGGGATTTTCTTCTTTGTCTGCGTTGGATTCCTTCGATTCCTTGGCTCCATCTGATTCAGAAGACAATCCAATAGCTATACATAGACATAGTATGACATCTCCAAATTTAGCTGTACAAACACACACAAAAATGCATAGAAGATGAGAACTTATTTGACATACCTATTGCAGGGAGCTGCACTTGAGGTTCTGCCATTTCTAATGTGAAGAAATTGCAGTCGAAGAGAGAAGCTGAAGAGAAAGAATAATGAGTTTGTTTGAGAAGAAAAATGCAAATTGTAATTTGTCCAATTAAAATACTCCAAGTAATTTAAATAAAATTTTGTGTGACATTTTTTAATTAATTTTATTTTTATAACAGAATGCACATTTAATTTTTTATCTTTTATCTTCCTACTATTGTTTATATTAGAATTAATTTATATTTAATAATATCTAAATGTTATGTTTTTATCAGACATACCACAAATGGTGTGTTGCATCCAATAAGAGTTTTTCAAGAGTGCACGAAGAACACATGATTGATGGAAGAAGATGGAAAATTGCATGAGCTGTGGAGGTTGAGAAGGTTTGTTAGACAGACATGTTGAATTTTTGGGATGTGATTCTTCCTTTCTCTTTCCTGTTGCATTTCTTTGGGACATGAATTCTCTTCACAAGGAACTAGAAGCTAAGAGGATAGGTGGAGAGAGAAAGAGAGATAAATTAGTGGGTTCCAACCAGTAACGGAACCTGAAATTTTAGAATATATATGGGGACGATATACATTTTACATAGGGGCATTACAACTACTATTTGTTAAATATTGAGAATCATTCAAACAAATCGACATCATACATGTAAAATTAAGCAAAATGAAATTTTTTTTGTGACGGCACTTTCCCTCAATACCTACAACGTAGGTACTTCCCTGGTTCTAATTGGGTCCACCAAAATTGTTCTCTCTCTCTCTTCATCAGGATTTTCCTGCACTTGCAGAGAATCATAGCGATCCCATTGCTTCTATGATGTGAATGGTATTTTGATCTTTATGATTGCTATTTGTTCTGCCATTCTTAAACCTCAAGGTTTGCCACATGAAGTTCATATACATATCAATGATATCATCCTAACCACAACACATGTATAGCATCCTAAACCACAACGTTGTACCAAATGCAAATTCGAAGCACAACAATGACAAAAGTATAGATCACAGACTGCAACGTCTATCATTCAAAATCTGGAGCAGAACCAAAAGTTGAATGCAAGAAATCACAAGATACATATTGAAAACACAAGGAAAATCCAACTCAAAGGCCAAGTGCGAAAGAACTCAAAACTCAACACACAAATTGGACCAAGACAACAGTATCGAGGAAAACCTTCTTGTGGGGAGCTTGATTTAGCGCGTTGAAAGTCAGTTTGTTATGAAGAGAGCAACCCAAACTACAAGGGCTAAGGATTTTCTTGACAATAATGCACTACGGATTTTGATAGCTACATGTTACCTTTAGAGGGCTTATCATGGAAATTCTTTTTCCTTTTCTTTTCATGCCTTCAACCCCTTTTGTATCTAGATCATGACTTGAGATCACTCAATATTGCATCATTATTTTTGCTAGGATTCTTGACATCATCTGTATCTTCCATTTTTTTTTTTATACTTGTTAAAAGAGACTTGACTTTCATAAAGACTCCCAAAAATGGAAAGAAAAGTCGGTCTTGCAAATCCTTTGTTAGCCTCAATTTTAATTTTGGATGATTTTCCTTGCCAACCGGCCACCATTATTTGGAAGGTCCTTTATTTATTATTTTTTCTTTTCTAAATTTCACACACAAGCTTGATTCATCTTTTATTATTATTTTTATAATACCTAAACAAAATAAAGTATTCACAATAAGTTATTTCAACCTTATAAGCTGGTGGACTATCAATCATCATCTACCTACCACCATAAGTTGAATGATGTTGCAAAAGTGTATGGTAGCATTTTACATTTGGATAAGTTATATGAGGAATCACTATGACGTTGAAATAAAATATTCTTAGAGGAGATATTGCACCAAATCAAATGAGTAAGTCATGCTTATAATGTATTATAAAATAAGTAAATATAGAAGAGCAAGAGAAATTACTAAGATGAGAGATGGTGGAGAATTCTTATCCCTTTGATGTTGATGTGTGTACAATGTCATAGGTAATTATGCCCCTGTTTATATACTTTTGATCTAAGAAATATCTCAAAGGATGAAATCTATCAATATATAGAATAACATACATTGCCAAAAATGCATGCAACCTTAATGAAAGGTCTTCAATTAATGTCTTGGACTCACGAAGGTAGGAAGAAAGTGCATAGCCAAGTCTATTGGAGGGGCTATGACTCATGAAGGCCACAACTAGAGTCATTAATCCCAAAAACTATAGGTTTATAGACATGATTCAAAAAATATGATAATATTTAGGAAAAATTATGTAAAAGCTCTTTGAAGTAGACTTATTTAAAAATAACTCTTGTAAAATTTAAAAATCACATTCAAGCTTTTTGGAGCCTGAGTGTAATTGGAAATCAAGGTGCAAAGGCAATAACACCTTTATTAAAAATATATTACATTAATAAAGTAATTTATAATTATTGGATATGTAAAATTATAGTATTAAAAAGTTGAAGTGATAATTGTATTTTTTTTTGGTATGCAAGTGATAATTATATATTATTAATGAAGTAATTGTAAACAATTAGTGTTAGACTTTGTTAATAATGCATGATCATTTTAATTATTAAATATATGAAATTACAATTATAAAATATTGAAATGATAATTTTAAATTACTGATAAGGTAATTATAAATAATTAGTGTTAAACTTTGTTAGTGACACATTTTGTTAGTAATGTATTATCAGTTTAATTATTAAATATATAAAATTATAGTTATAAAACATTGAAATAATTATTGTAAATTACTAATAAGGTGGATATATATAATTAATAATAAACTTGTAATGTGTGAGTAGTTTAACTTTTAGATATATAAAATTTTGATTGTAAAAAGTTGAAATAATAGTTATGAATTATTGATAAAATAGTTGTAAATTATTTTATTAATGTAATATATTTTTGATAAAGGTATTATTGTCTTTACACATCAATTTCTAATTAAACTCAGGTCCTAAGGGACTTGGTTGTAATTTTTAAATTTCGCGAGCTTTATTTATAAATAAATCTACTCCCTAAAACTTATATGCAATTTTCCTAATATTTATTAGTTGAAAATGATAAAATTACAAAAAGCCCAATATTATGACATGTAGAAAGAGAGCTAACCTCAATTGAACCTGACAATGTTCGAATGTAGCTCAGTTAGATAGCTAAATAAAAATAATAATTAAAAAAAAGTGCTAGCCAAATATGTTGAGATCTATTTGAAGTTATTTCCCTGTAAAAGTTGGCAAATCAGCAGCCATCTACCCACCATCACAATTCTCTTTTCTCTTTCTTCTTCCATCTGTAAGATTCTCTTTATGCAGATTTGTGCTTTCAGTGAGACACGAATGGATGTTGCAGTAATGCTGCAGCTGATAGCCGCTTGGCTGGATTTCTCTGGAAGCATAATTCGAGAAACTCTTTGCCCTCCGTCGACAAATCTTCGGGTATTTCAGGATCTCGGTTGTTCAAACATACTGCACGGTTCACCTGGAACTGCTTGCAGGAATCTATTTTAGTGATATGTTTAACAATTAATTGAAAGATCCCTGTATCAGATGCGTTGTTTCTGCTAATTTCAATATTACTTAGAAAAAGGTATTCTCAAAATTCACTCGTCCTCCTCCTATTTAGCCAAGCCACATGCCATGAAATCACGTTATCTAACGCAATATTGGCTACATATTAGGCTGTTAAAAGTGTTTACCCAATTAAGATCAGGCCAAGGACGCTTCCCTGTGAACATTTCAATGATTACACAGCCGAGGCTCCATATATCAGCGGCACAAGCTTCACTCAAGCTGCTATATTCTTGCTTAAGAATAGTCTGCATGAGAAACATGGTTTTTTAACAAATACTTCGCAACGTATACAATGAAATTTAGAGTATGAATATATATATATATATATATTTATATTTATACCTCTGGAGATGCATAATGTGAAGTTCCCGAGTGATTGCCCACAGATTCATCTACCTGTTCAACTCATCAGAACAGATATCTTGCTCACGATAAGGACTATCATATCAATAATTCCGCACGGAGTGTCAAAAAGTGAAGTGATTTGAGGTGCAGGCTTGGATTTGAATGAAGGTTAGGGAAAAAGTAATTTTATTTGAGTGTGAAACAAAGTAATTTTCTTTAAATTTCACTTGTCTCAAATTCCTTCTTTCAAGTTCTGGTTTGCTCCTTGAACATATCATATTTCAACATGTTGGGGAGGGCAAAAACGTTAAAGGGATATAAGAGTATTTTAGTAATTTCATTAGATAGGGAAAAATATTGAAAATCTAGTACGCCAGCTGCTAGAAATACAATCGAAAGAGAGGATGACAAATACCATATTCTTGCAAGCAATTAATTAGTTAAGCAGTTGCAGTAGGAGATATTCAAGTACTTACACGCTTAGCCAAACCAAAGTCAATGAGCTTTACAAAGCCGTAGGAATCAACGAGTATGTTATCGGGCTTGATATCCCTATATGTAAGCATAAAATAAAGGAAAAAAGATTAAGACAGAGAAGAGAGAGAATTAATTAAGATTATGCCAGCATATATGATTACATGACCATTGGTTGGAACACATGAACACATTAAAAGAAGAGCCCATTTTAAATTGCGGTTACGAAACCAAAAGCAGCTCTACTCCACAATATTTACACTCAGCTTCTTGCCAAAAGAGTATTTTCTATAAGAGTAAGTTTAAAAGGAAAGAGCCCAACTTAAAAGACCAATATATCAAGTGTGAGATTTTTAAATTTATAAACCGCACTTTTCTATGAAGCTTAGTGATGTGGAACTAGTAACATTTCCCTTCAGGCGTGCGTGTGATTTATTTTGTGTGGAACTCATGCAGCATTTCATATAAGAAGGTGAATGTACCTGTGGACTAGTCTTTTGCCATGTAAGTAAGCCAACGCAGAGAGAATTTGTATAGAGGTATCTCGAACTAAACGTTCATGGAAAGGACCTTGTTCACTAATGTAATTCGTCAGTGTACCAGTTTCCACGTATTCCATGAATACGTATATCTGGTTTCCAACCTATTTGCACATAAACCAATTAATTGGACACACAGACACATGCAAAAGGAATCTATGCTGTTCAGTGATCCACAAATAATGGTTTTATTCCTCTCCATAAATCAGGAGATAACTTACACTTCCACTGCCATAATACTTTACTATGTTTTGATGGTCTAGTTGGCTGAGAATCCTGATTTCCTGAAAAAACACAATCTCACTTAGCTAGTTGGTTTGGTAAGAAACTTAATTTAAAGTTGTAGCGTTCTTTTAAGTAAGAAAAAATGATACGAATAGTGTGCCGCATGCATGTTGATTTATTTTTTCAATCAACTCAATCACATGTTGATCTATTTCAAAGACACTTGAAAATCTTTAATTTATTTCTTTTTCTTCAATTTTGGAGGATACAGATCTACGGGAAGACGTACCTTAATTAGAGACCTTGCTTTCTCAAGATTGTCAGGGTCTTTAAGTGTCTTTACTGCACATAAGTCTCCTGTTACTCTGTCAAAAATGATAAACACAGCATATTCCTAATTAAGAAATGAAATTAACACAATAAGATCAAACTATCAACATAGTCAGAATCCTTCATACCTGTTATAGGCAACACGAACAAATGCAAATCCACCATCCCCTATAGGGGGGTCCGATATTTCCCAATGGCTAAAATTCGATGTAGAAGAGATTGAAAGAGCAACATTACCATGATTCTGTTGATCAACCAACTCAGTGTTCAAAGAAGAAACAGGGCCAATAAGATCCTCTATTTCCCGTTGAGTAAAGTTGGTTGTAGAAGAGATTGAATTAGCAGCTTTATCATAATTCTGTTGATCAACCAACTCAGTGTTCAAGGTAGTCGCTTCGGTGGGGCTGTTATGATCTTGTTCTAGTTTACTGCCCTGCTTGATCATTGAAGCAACCATTTCGGAGCAAATTCATTAAAGCATCTTCATTAGTACCCTCCGTCCGTCCATTCAATATTATAAGCAACATTTAACTAATTTATATCTTCAAATCTCAATAAGTTAATTAATGAAATTTAAAATTACACATTTCTCTATATTTATTCTTATTTAATAAGTTATATTCATTAAAAAACTTTATTAATCATACATTATAAAAGTCAACAGTCAATTATTTTAGTGTCAACATCACCTCCCTTATTTAAAAGAGATCTTAAATTTGAACCCAACATTGACATATGAGTGTGCATATGTGGGTGTATGCGTGTTTTCCTTTTTTATGAAAAAGGGTTCGGTTAAAGGTAAAATTTTAAAAATTATACCTTATGAAGACGTATTTGAAAAAAACCATATTGATTATATTTTAAAAGGCCTAAAATGATTGATACTTTTAACATGATATTTTTAAAAACATCTCTTATAATATTGAACAAAGACTCATTACTCAACTCTGAAAGTTTTCTATATAACATATTTTTGTGGTGCAATGAAGTCACTAAGGGCATGAGAATTTAATACCACACTCTCGGGTGCTTCTGGTAATGCCTCAACATTTTCCAAATATATTTTTTATCATTAGATTTTATATAAAATCAAAGACATTTTAATTTTAATATCTTATTAAATGAAACGATAAAATTTTATATTTTTTTACTAGAAAAATACCCAAATATCATGCAGCTTTAATTTATTTTCTTTTCAAAAAATCATAAAATATGTAAAATTGCATCATTTTTTACCTGAAAAAATTGCATAATTTAATCACAGTAAAATATCAAAATATTTCTAATTGTATATAAAAGATAATGAGGAAAAACAATTAAAAGGTTGAAATATTAGAAGAATGGTTGGAAAGATGGGCATTAAAGAGTCCAAGCACAATTAACATAGCATCTAACATACTCCTTTCAGTGGCTATTACATATAAGATGTGTTTAGAAAGACTTTTTGATTTTTTAATATAATGTGTTTCGTAAGATATTAATTACATTTTGTAAAATATTATTATTATTATTATGTAAATTTATTAAATAATTAAAAATAATGTCATATAAATTTTAAAAAAATTATTTAAATAAAAATAAAATTAAAAATTTGTTTTATTTTACAAAAATAATAACTTATCTATGTGGGATATGTACTTGACAATTGACAAGGCTCTAGCCCGTAGGATGCCTGTTATAAGAAGGGAAGAAATGGCACACCTGAAAGCCGGAGATTAAGCGAGAGATTAAGCCGTAGATTAAGCCGGTGGTAAAAAGCAGATGAAACTTAAAGCGTGCTTTTACACGGGGTGAGGATTTGGCAACTAAGAAGTCCAAAGCAGAACTTGCAGTATTTGCAAGTTCGGAAAGCAAGAGAAACTCTCGTGAGGAAAACCGGCGATGTCTCCGGGCATCCATCACCATCACTCCTAACTGTAAAACCGGTGCAACCGGCATTGCTATAAACTCATCGATCACAGACAGATCATCTATTTTGCTTCTGTCTTCTTTCATCCAGGATTCTAGCTCAAGATTTCTCGCTATCAGCAGGCAGCCGATCAGCACATCTCCAGTAAGTAGCGTCATAAAATAACGCATTAATCTGAACATGCATGGAAGGGCTCGATCCACCCGCTTTGAGTGAATGAGATTTGAGAGCCTGTGAGAGATGTGTGAGCAACTGGTAATAAGCACCGAGCAGTAGAAGAAGCAGCAGAAGATAAAGAAACCGATTCAAGGAGCCTACGGTCTACGGCGACTTGATGAAAAGTGGGGCACCGTCAAACCCAAAAAATTGCAGATCATCTCTTTCAATCCTTGACCGATGACCGCTTTTCCAATGTTAAGACTGAAGAATACCGGACCTGTTATTAAATAACGTCAAACCGTGATTTAAATCGTGGTTCAACTTAAGGAATTAATATGTTATAAATAATATATGCTTAAAATAAAAAAATAATTATATATAATAATAAAAGTGAATTGTTAATTTTAAACAAATAATATAAAATAAAAAGGTAATACCCCTCATCATTATTCTATCATTTTTATTCAAAATATATATACTTATTTCATAATTTATAATTTATAATTTTAAAATGTATCCATATATACACATTTTATACATATTTTTTTACATATTTTTTTTAAATTTACGAGCACTAATTAGGTATAAATATGTGTAAATTGCAATTTATAAATATGAATTAAAATTTAAAAAAATTTAAAAAATTAAGACCGGATCAACCAGTAAGCCCATTAATCATGCCAATTTTGGCCAGTTTGAAATTGATTCAACCTATCGAATAGGGAAATCCGGTTCGGTTTTGATAAAACTGCTTTTTTTAATCCTCCTTTTATACTAGAGCATAGAATTACGAATTTTTTAAAAAATACAACTTTAATCTTTTAAAATTTTTTACATCCTTTTAATTACATTCTTATAAAATATCCTAGATAAATATTTAATGATAATCAAAATTCAATGCATGTTTTTAAAAAATAATAAATGAAATTGGAGTATGCATCCTGGTTGAATCCAACACACTGCACACCTAGGTCCCCTTTGGTACACTAGAATTTTGGCTTTAGAATTGGAAATGGAAATAAAATTCAACAAATGATTAGTTTGGTATGCTAGAATTCAATTCCATAAGGAATCCAATTTCATTACAAAACTTTAGATTTTCAATTCCATATTCTTTTTTTCATTTTTTTACCCTTTCCTTTCTCCTCTCTCGTTCAATCCTCTCGCCCTTACCAAGTGCCGGCAACCTCAGCAACCAGCATCGACGACCTCAGCAACCAGTGCCAGCGACCTCTAACAACCAGTGACGGTGACCTACAGAACCAAAACATTCTTGTGATGACCTCCAGGAACTATCAACGATTTCATATGCCAATGAACTTTTCACTTACTTTCGGTGACTTTCTTAATGATAAGGACAAACTAGATCTGTAAATGGTGAAGACAAACTAGATGGAGAAGGTGGATGAGAAGACAACCTCTTGTCTACTTTTGGCTGCAACGATGACATCGAGCACCACTGTTTGTTACTAGAGATGCTGTGGGGGGAGGTGAAGGCTACAGCAGAGATGTATCGAAAGGTCGATCGTGCTCCCTTGATCTCTCATTGGAAGGTGACGGCAGAGACCACCTTCAATCTCTTGACCACCTCTTTCTCAGATTTAGTTCAAATCATGGCAGTTATGAAATCATGACTTTTTCTAGATAGAAATAGATTTTTGCTGCTTTATTGAATCATAATTAGCTATGCTTTTGTTTCAATGCGCTTGTTATATGATTATATGAGAATGATTCTGGGTTGGAAATAAAAAATGATCTGCATTTGTGTTTTTTTGGATGGCAGCTGCAAACTCAAGCCATGACAAATGATGATTCTATGTGAGCAATTTTTTTTAGGATGAGGGCTTTTTAGTCTTTTCACATTTTAAATATTAATATTGAATAAAAATAATCTTTCAATTCCATAAACATACCAAACATATTTTTAAATCTCATATCCATTTTCATATTTATTTTTATTTCCATCTTCATCTTCATTTTTATTTCCATCAAAATTATTTTCAACATACTAAACGGGACGGGACACAAGTTCTTCCAACTAATTCTTTTGACTTTTGATCCATCTGTCCCATTTTCTCTTCATTATATTAATATATTAATTTTCCACACCATTGAACTCCTAAATACTTCTTTTTGTCGTTATTTTACAGCGTTTTTTATTTGCACGCCATTTGGTACTTTTCGTGTTTTTATTTTTTCTGTGTTTGTAAAACACTTTAATTTAATTATCCCAACATGATTCTCCAACTACACCTTTGGAAGAACAAAAAATTATACTGTCAAGCATCAAAACTGTAAAAAAAAAAAAAAGGGGGAATAAGATGTTGCGAACGTCTAACAGTAATAAATGGCTTAATTACTCTCCCTTATTTATTTATTCATTCGATCAGGAGGGAACACGATCCATCGATGGACACCCTGTTCAGCACTTCTTCCAAGAAGAAGGTAAATGAAGCAGATGTTTTGAAAGAAGTAATTTTTTTTCTTTTAATGCAAGGCCACGAAAAAACCGTGTAAAGAAGAATAAAAATCAAGTCATGTCAACTTTTATAAAGAATCTGCATCCTAAAAGTAGATAGTTAAAAATAACAAGATCAAAATTTGCTTGAGAGGCTTGTAAGCAAGCATATCAGTGTATTTGTTCGCTTTCTTGAACATAAGATCGAAGATAATGATTCAATCTTTCATGATAAAATCTCTGACTTTATTAGTAGTTTCTGAAACAGGGTGATTGTTAGAGAGATTATGTTAAATAAGAGAAAGAGCTTTCATAAAATCAGAAGGAATATTGATTTTAGTGAATCGCACATTCCAACAAAGTTAAAGCCCTTCTAAAATGCCTAAAAGTTATGCCGATATGTTGGTTTGATAGCCAAGATATTTGAAAAATCTCTTAATCCAATTACCTTTGTCATCTTGTACAATGCCGCCACAAGTTGCAGCTCCAATAGAATTGACAGCCCCGTCAACATCAAGATGGATCCAACTTGCTTCTGGAGGTCTGTATTGTGCTTCTAATCTTTTACCATCACAAAAGAAGTATTCTCTGAGAGCACAACCGAGGGAAGAAACCTAACTCTAGCTATGGATCCAACATGATCAAGGAAACATAGGATGAGGAAGTTACTCAATCACTAGCCTGTTTTGTGGTTAGAGTCCTAGCTCAGAGAAATGAAAACAAAGTCAAGCACCAGAATAACCTAAGCACAGTATTGAGAACCTACATAGTCTTCTTGCAAAATCATGTGGGTCCCATTTTTTTGTCTATGGCTTTCAGGGAACTGAGAGATGAACTGAACAAGAGAAGCAAAGTCTATGCCAATGTGATTTGGGTAGACAAGTTCTAGAAGCCATAAGCAAGGCTAACAAAGATGTAACACTTGCCTTGAGTGTTATCCAAAAATCACATAATTCAAACAAACTAAGTGTGGTTAAGGAGTTGATCCTCTAACCAACTTAAGAAATAAATCATTTAAAACCTTAAAAATAATTATAGGTTCTACCTATAGCGCACGGAAGCAAGTTAGACGAAAATGGAATAAAAAGATGCTGTCATGACAGTAATTTATTGCTGTCATGACAGCCCTCCTGGGCCAACTTCCAGGAGGCGGTGTTCCGTCATTCGACCTCCGATTGAAATGATTTTAAAGCTCACACGTCACATTCAAAGGGTACTATAAGTGTACCAAATTTCAAAAAGATCCAACGGTCGGATTAAAAATTAGACATGTTAAAAGATTGACTATTTTTGCTGTCATGACAGCTAAAAAGCTGTCATGACAGCACTTCCGGACCAACTTCCGGAGTGCACCATTTCATCATCTGACCTCCGATCGGAGTGATTCCAAAGCCCACATGTCACTTTTAAAGAATACTATTAGCATACTAAATTTTGAAAAGATCCAACGGACGGATTGAATTTTGTGCAGGTTACAAAATCAACACTGTAGCTGTCATGACAGCAATTTAATGCTGTCATGACAGCACCTCCAGACCAAATTCCGGAGTGCGTCGTTTCTCCGTCCGATATCCGATCGACGTGATTCCAAAGCCCACACGAAGCTTATAAAAGGTTTTACTTGTGACCCAAATTTTAGAGAAATCCAACGGTCGGATTAAGATTTGGACACCCGGATGCAAAAGTGCAGCTTTTTGGTAAAAACCATTTTCAAAATTGTCCAAATCCCATCCTAATGGTCACAAACCTGTGGAAACACTTTGAACACGTCAAATAAGATTAAAAACACTTGATAGAACATTCAAATGATGGAAAACCCCCATACATCAAAATTTGACCACCCGGGTGCCATTTCCCAAAATGGACCCTAAACCCCCAAAATGCACAAATCATACAAGAGTGGTCACAAATCAATCCAAATACCATGTATTTATATAAATACATATGCTAAACATTTTCACTTGGCTCAGAGCTCCTTGTGGGGCCCACGCACCCCTCTCTCTATCCAAGGTGTATGTTTGCCCATAGCACACCATTTGCAATGCAACCACTTTGCATTTGCTTATAAAATCACATATATATCAAAATAAAGATCTGCTTGTAATAGAAACTTGGTCTACTAAGTAAATCCATCAAAACCACACACCATAACCAAGTTTCCTAGCCACAAGTCTGCAAACAGACAAAAATTCATACACAAGCACACAATCCACACATATTCACACACACACACATAATCATATCCTACTGGCACCCTAATCTTAAATACATTACAATATATTTGCTCAAAAGAAAGGGGTTGCAGTTCTTTACAAATCACAAGCAAACCCCTAGCTTTGCTCTTTTCCCCGTCCACCACTGGATCCTTCGCCTGGACCTAGAATATTGAAAAGAAAGGGGTGAGACAACCACAGTCTCAGTAACAGTGAAATCTATATTGATTATTACAAAGTAAGCCATAATTAAATAAATGAATAATAAATTCAACATAGTATATAATTTAGCCATTTAAAATGCATGAATGCATGACCTAGGCCGGTATGGCCTTTCATGACCAACAGA